CCTGTTTTCCCCCTCTGCCGACAGTCACAACTGTGACCAAAGCCCCTGCCCCTCATCTGTCACTCAGCTGTCACGGTACAGTACTCATAGGAGCATCCTTTTTGATGCATCTTTTCATCTGAAGAAGAACACAGTCAAAGTATCTTCATGGCTTTGACAGAATTACAAATGGTTTAAGGAGAACACACTCCGAGGGTTAATGGGTTCGACAGCATTGCAAGTGATTTAAATCACCCCATATAGTTTCTGAAGCTGTTTTTTGAAGCAGCCATAATCTGACATCTTTTAAGAAGACCATAAAAACTAGTTTCCTCCTAGACTAAATTTCTTTGGCAAGAAACTGAATTCAGTAAGTGGCTCCCAAAATAAGCTTCCCACCTCCTAGCACAGGCAGGGACACACTAGCACCCATTTCACACTGTTTTCAAGTTCCTATATTAGGCTCCTGGAACCATGGCTAAACATAGGAGCTTTGTAGTTTTGGAGAAATTGGGAAAGAGGGACAGTGTGCAGAGAATCTCCCAATGACTGTCCAGAGGTACCCACCCCGCTGCGTGTGAAGGTTCTAAGAACAGTTCGGTTCTATATGGAAGGGGAGGACCAGCAGTCACACGCTTCATCTGACTTTCTCCCAGACAGTTCTTAGCATTAGGTGTCTTGGTTTATCAAGAAGCTCAAAGAAAGATTTCAAGTACACAAACTTAACTACCTTCTTCCCAAAGACAACTGAATTCTCTTTTCATTCCTGCCTTTTATTCCTTTAAATTTTTTTTAAAAGTTGAAAATAAATAAATAAAAACAAACCAAACAACATGACTAAAGAGATTGCTCATATTTGGTACACTGCGGTTTCTCCATCCTCATGGGTGACCCTGCGTCCCGTCTCCTGAGGCCCTCTTTGGGTGACCTCACGTGGTAGCTCTTTAGTTGTCTCATCCAATTTTCTTCAAAGAGTATCCAATACATCCCAGGTAGCAAGGGCACCAGTGCATGTATTTGCTCCTTGGCCCTTTATCCTTCTCATTCTCAAAGAACCAAGCCTTCAACCAGGGCAGAACATTGCTTCAGGTAGGTTGCTATCTTTATCCTGGAAAATCATCACCCCTATCCTCTTGCTGGTATGCTCCTTTCCCTATTCCCAGCCTGTGTCCTGCTATGACAGTGAGCCTGGTAAGCTGGGGCAGTGCTCAGGGCAATGTGAAAGCTAGTTCCACATTTGAGGGCATTCATAGACCCAGGCCAGGGAGTTGTAGTTACTTCAACTGATAAGAGGTACTTCTTTCCTCAAAGCCCAGCACAGACCCTCTGATGCTATATTATCTGGTTCACTAGTGTTATGGTCTGTATCTAGATGTCCCCCCAAAGCCTAACACAGTCGTAAAAGGAGCTTTGCGGAGCTGGCTGGATCTAGAGTGTATGATGCTGGGACTAACGATGTAATGCCGGGATTGAGAGATTGGATTTGGAGAAATTGGGAATGAAGTTAGGATTAAGGACTTCATGGTATGAAGTTAGGATTAAGGACACCCCACCCTGGGTGTGAGTGCTACCTACCTTAAGGGTAGATAGCCTGGACAGGCTATAAGGGAAGGTTGTTTTTGCTGCTCCTTGTCACTAGCTGCTTCTTCACTACTTTGTTGCCTTCTGCCCACCATGAACTGTTTCTCCTCTGCGATGCCCCTCTACCATGCCACACTTCCTTGGAGCCAGCCAACTATGAACGGAAATCTCTAAAAACTGTGAACTAAATAAACCTTTCCTCCTTTAACTTTGGGTGTTGGGTATTTTGCCTTAGCAGTGAGAAAAGTAACTAAGACACCTAGACATAAAAAATTATTTTGTAATAATTGTATTCAACACTAAATATTGAGTTTAGAAGATGAGATGCTCACCTCCTTAGCCACGCCCCTAGCATTCAGCGTGGTGTATACAGAAGATAAGCAAGTAAACAGGTGAGAGTGCCAAGGCAGAAGAGCAGTCGGCTTACTCTATCCTCCACTAACAGTCATTTCCATCACCTGCACTGGCCACGGCAAGTCAGATGCCCTGCTGCTTGAGGGCCCGCATCGCTCCCAGGAACTGCAAAGAGTTAGTGGTCAGGTTCTGAGGAGAACACATTCTGTGTATTCTTCCAATACCATCACCACCACAGAACCTGCTTGACTCTTCGCTACTAAGATAAAGGCAGGAATGGTGGCAAATGACCAAGAGAACGAAGAACAAGGGCTGACAGTGAGACAGGGAGAGGTAGCGAAGGGGGAAGGCACGCAAACTGGCCATTTGACTTAAAAAGTGGAAGTCTGTGGGATTCGAAACAGCGTGAGGGTTGTAGAGCTAGATAGTAGTATTTCTGGCTACCAGACGTAAGAACAAAGCTGGGGATCAAGCTCTGGGAGGCTGGATGAAGCCGGCAGCTGTGTGAGTGCGGTAGAGTACAGATAAAGAGTATGTAACAAAGCGTTGGAACAAAAAGACAAGGAAAATGAGGTTGTGAGGACAACTTCAAAATCGAGGAACCAGAGGCTTTGTGGAAACTGGACGGGGCCAGGCAAAGTAAGAAGAAGAACTGCTAGCATCAAGAACGACCTAGATAACAGGTCTGGTCAGTGGTTCTGAAAGATTTCTGTTGCTGAAGGTCTGGCGCTAGGCAACAAGGAAGCAAGTAACTGAGAGCACCTGACTGATACACAGAGGAGGAGGAAGAGCACGAGCCGGGGCTGCCAGGAAAATGGAGAGATGGACGACACGGAGGCCACTCAGTGCCCTTAGGAGTATTTGAACGCAAAATGGCGGAGCCATGTTGGGTATTGGAGCTGGCCGCACAACTAGAAAGATGCTTAGAATGGTCCAGCCCTGTTCCCAAATAAAGTCCTCTCGCAGAGACCCTGCCTAGAGTACGAAGACAGCACGGCAAGGTGGAAAACGTGTGCGATTTAGAGGCAAGCAAAGTCTAAACTCAATTCTGTCTCTTACAAGCTGTGATTTGGGGCAGGTTATTTAACTACTCTGACCCTCTATTTCCTCTTTTGAACAATTACGCTGTAGACAGCATAATTGGGTTTTGCAAGAGATTTTCTCATAAGGTCTTGTAGTAATTAAATTAGAGAGTAAACAGAATATTTGGCCAGACCCAGTGTTCAATAAGAGAAAGGTATTGATTATTATTCTTGTAAATAGTCATAGTAATGTACTGTGTGTCGAAACACTCCTTACACATATGATTTATAAGAATAATAATAATTATTGTTATTACTACTATTATTATTATTATAGCATTGGCAACCCTAGACTTAACAAGCTAATCTGTTTCTGGTAACATGTGAAAATCAAACCATAAGATAACATGGTTTAAAAAAGACTTTTCAGCTTTTCCCCAAACTCTGCTGCTATGCCAGTAAGTTGATGCCACACAAATCAAACAATCATATCTTTATCTTCTTCCCTCCCTCTTTTCCTTCATCTTTGCCTCCCTTCATTTATGACCAGCACTGACTGTGCCACCCTGGAAAGCACCTGGTACAGGCCCCGTTTTCATTTTCTGTAGGAAGCGGTACACAGGTGTGGGTGATTAGCATGGGGTGGAGGATGTTCTGAATTTGAGAGAAAGGGTAAGGGAAGGGAGAAGCCGGACGTGGGAATCAGCATGTCGTATACTCTTATTTGAGAGTTACCCACATTTGTGCAGGGCTTTATAACCTTATCCATAAACTGTCACATTAAACAGGGTAACAGCCTCATGTCTGGCTTACAGAAAAGAAAATGAAGCTCTGAGGGCTTCTAGTGATTTGCTGCAGGCCATACACTGTTCAGCGGTAGCACCCGCCTAGAACCTGGATCTCTGCATTTGTGAGCCACAGCTTGCTCATTAAAATTGTTCTGTAACCTCCAGGTTAGTGCAGCAGGTCCATTTATTCCTAAAAATACATTTATATTTGATGTTCTTTTTACTCAAAAGCTCGAAGTTCTTAGGTACCTTGCTCTTGGAATGGCTTTATTTGATTTTGTTAATATGATGAGTTTTGAATTTATACAGGGAAAAGTGGTCTCCTTAAATCCAACAATTACTATGTAAATTGATTTTAACATCCTCAGTATTTTAAAGTTCTCATGGAGAAATTTAAAATGAAAATAATATGTGCAATATATTATGTTAGAAAATATTTCCTTTCAGGGACTAGTAAATTATTCACTTCAGTGCCCGCAGAGATAAATTATTCATTACCAAAATGCTTTTTATGAGTAAAATCATATGGTGCTTATTTGACAGTTTAGGGTTCTATGGGACTTCACGTTTCAATTTTTTTAAATTGGAACTTTTGTTTCTTACAAGTTAAGAAAATAATTCAGTTCTATGTGAAATAAATGCTCTATTAAAAGTTTATATTTTTTGACAAAAGGTATGTTCAAAGGAGCCAACTATAGAAATCTATACTGGACAATACGTTATTTATTATCCAGGGCGACATTTCAAGCTCAGCAGGCAGTTCCAGCGCTTTAGCGTCACTGAAGTGTTGTAGGCAGATTATGTGACAATGGTAGTTACTGGGATGCTCCCCACCCACTTTGCTAGATGGAAGCTGACATCTAAGTAGATGCATTTGTACCAGAAGCTCTCTTCTTGCTTGATACCATATCAAATTTATAGTTACAAACATACACTTTGTTTGTCCCTAAAGAAACTAATTTTGGCACTGATTTTTTTTTAAAAAAAGCTATGAAATGCCTAATTGAAGTAAATTTCATTTGTCATCAGGGAATGATGCTTTGTTCACTACAAAAATGAGCTAAGTGAAGCTTCTTCCATCTAAACAGAAAGAAACAAATTGATCCCAGTCAAAGAAACAGAGCTGAGGGCTGGGGATGTAACTCAGGGCTAGAGTCCTTTTCTAGCATGCGTGAGGCCCTGGTTCCATCCCCAGTACTTTAAGGAAAAAAAGAATGTTTTTTCCCCATTGTATTCTTTTGAGGTCTTACTTTACCATGTACACACAATCACTTACCGAGGGGCAGAAATGCGAGACGGTTTCCAGCCATGGAGAGCTCGTTGAGGCTGGGCAGCTGGCAGAGGTGGCGAGGCACATGCCATAGCCGGTTGCGGTCCACAGTGAGGTACTGCAGAGAAAGGCACAGGTGAAGCCTCTCGGGTAAAGTTAGCAAACGATTGGTAGAAATGTCTAGTGTCTGCAGCTCCTTCAAATCGCCAACCTCTACAACCAAAATCAAAATGAAGATGAATTGCATCCCGATAGACTTCGGCAAAGAAAATAAAACAAATTAATGCTGTAACAGCTCAGCTAAATGAAAGCAGTAGCTGGAACTATTTCCATAAACACAAATGCAGAAACACTGAATTCAGGGCTAGTGTTCAAGTACTCTAGCTTCAGTGAGGGTCTTTACTTTGGCCAGTCATAAAATTTCTAAAGTCGGGAAAATGGAGGAAGGGGAGACACAAAGCAATGAATGTGAACTACAAATCTGTCACTAATAAATCAAAAGTCATTGCTAAAGTGAGAAAACAATGATTACAGCCAATTCAAGGTCCCTGGTTTCTGCTATTCGATTTATTCTCTGTCTGAACAGCTAATAGGAGATTTGTAAGTTATAGCATCCAAGCAAATACAAAGTGTCCATGTGAACTAGACACAAGATTTCTGATTTAAGAACTAGGGTGTCTTCTGGAAATTTCCACCATAGTAAAGTTTCTTTTAAGATGAAATTATCGTACAAAACGTCTTTCGGAACTGTCTACCAGCTGGCTCATTTGAAGATTCGCTTGACGTGTTTGCATCGTATTAAGATTTCGTTTAGTTCCACCCAAATTAAACGCTTTCCTTCGTCCCAGCTCCTCACCACCAGTGTCTACAGTTGCATTCTGTTCCATAGTGAAGACAAGCATGTGCTTGCCAAACCATTAAGTGTTGAGAGGACATTGGGAAGTTCTTTACAAGGAACGTGGTCTTCCCCAGGGAACACTGTCATTTTAGGGGAGAGGCATTTACTCTGCCCCAGGACCAAACATTCTACTCCAGGCTCTGCCTGTTTCTTCTCCACCACGGACACTAGGTGTTAAAGACCACGATGATGTCCCCTACTGCCCTGCTCCAACCCTGACCCCTTTCGGTTAAGCCTTCCATCCTACCAATGGACTGTACCTTCCAGGGCACATTCTAGTTGGGTTAGGGCTTGGGGTGGGCATTAGCAGTGTCTTCTCTATTGGACAGAGACCACTGTGGCCTGCAAAACCTGAAAATACTTATAATCTAGCCATTTATAGAAGACACTTTCTGTCTTTGCTATATACTTAATGTAAGTTAAGAGCATTTTTTTTGTCTTTTTGAGACAGGGTCTTGCCATGCAGTTCAGGGTGGCCTTGAGCTCACTTTGTAGCCCAGGCTGGCCTTGAACTCACAATGATCCTCCTGCCTCAGCCTCCTGAGCGCTGGGATTACAGGCGTGTGCTACCACGCCTGATTTAAGAGCATTCTTCATAACTAGTGCTTAAAAAATAAAAATAATATAAGTGCAAGACAAACTAATTTCTAGTTCCCTAAATTTTCAAATCCCCAAATAAGTGAAATTGAAGCAACACATTTCTAAATAAACCTCAAGTAAAAGACACTGCAAGGAAAATTAGAAGATATTTTTGATCAAATAAAAACAACCAACAGGAGATATCAAAATCGATGGGATACAGTAAGGGAAGTGGTAAGTGGGAGATTTTAAAGCTTTAAATGCCTATATTAGGAAGAAAGTTCTCAAATTCATTTTTTTGGTGGGGGGCTACCGGGAATCCATCTCAGGATCTTGTGCTTGCCAGGTAGGTGCTTGTGCCACTGAGCTAGATCCCTGGCCCTCAAATTCATTTCTTAGCCTTCCACTTTGAGAAAGAAGAGAAAGTAGGAAAAATGGAACACACAGAAAGCAGAAAAGAGGAAATGACAACCAGTAGAGAGCAATGAAATAGAAATTGAAAACACATCATTTAAAAATCAATAAAAATAAAAGTTCTTTCTTAAGGGATAAAAGTTGACAAACTTTTAGCTAGGCTGACCTAAAGGAATGGAATGAATAGAGAAAAAACGCAGACTGCCAAACTTGGAAACAAAAAAAGGGGTATCGCATTAACTTTTTTGCAAGTTTTTTTTTATTTTAAAGAGAATAGAAAATAAGAAAAAACCAATAACAACGATACACAATTTCAAAACAAGATAGGAAATTAACAATGGTTGTTATTATATTGCATGTTGTTATCTTCAGAGTAGTTGCTCAGGTTACCAGATATAGGCATGCAAATCTGATCGAACAATTAAGCATTAATTGTTTTTTTCAATAAACCAATAGAACTTAGTAGTACAATTATGGCAGTACTATGGAAACTGGTGTGGAGATTCCTCAAAAAATTAAAAATAAAAATTCTATTTGACTCAGCTACTCCCTTCTAGGTATCCCCTCAAAAGAGTTAAAGTCATCACATTACAGGAATATATACATACCAAAGTGCACAGCAACACAATGTGTAATAACTAGATCTGTAAACAGTGTATTATCCATTGATAGATGAATGGATAAAGAAAAGGTGGTATTTATACACAGTGGAGTACTATTCTGCCACAAAGGAAGACAAATTTGAGGCATTCATCGGTAAATGGATGCAGCTTGAAAAAATAATGTTAAGTGAAATCAGTCAAGCTGGGGATATAGCTCAGTGGCACAGAGCCTGCCTGGCAAGAGGTCACGAGTTCGATTCCCGGTACCAAAAAAAAAAGAAGAAAGAAAGAAATCAGAAACACAAGCTTAAGTAGTCCATGGTTTCTCTTATGGGAAACATATACACAGAGTCCACCAAAAAATGTATACACAGTTCAGAAAAAGAAAAATAGCATGATGCTTTTTAACAGATGGTGTCGCCTTTATATGGGGAGTCCTAAAGGATGTCATATATCACAGAAAACACACTACAATGGCGGTCCATAGAGAAGAAACTGAAAATGCATGTGCAGCAATCTCAATGACCAAGGTTACCCAAGCAGCAGTTCTACGTACTAATAAATATCTGTAAGCTAATGCCCACCAGTCTGAGCACCTATGGTAATTGTAGAGGGCAAAGGTAGCTTGTGTTAATCTCATGATGTCTCAATAAATTTAGTATTAAAGGGGGCTGGGGATTTAGCTCAGCGGCACAGTGCCTGCCTGGCAAGCACGACGTCGTGAGTTCGATTCCCGGTACCGGAAAAAAACAAAACAAACAAACAAACAAAAATTTAGTATTAAAATATTTATATGAGTTTTTTTCCCTCGAAGGGTATATATATTTTTTGGCAGACTCTGCAGATAGATAGATACATAGACATATAGATACATAGATACATAGATAGATAGATAATTGATGGAGGGAGACAGAGAGAAAGAGAAACAGAAGATAGATAAACAGGAAGCAAGAAATTCAGATAATTATTCTGTTGTTTCAAAAATATTTGAAGATAAACGCTGACTTATACCGCTAGTTTCTTTTGTTCATTGAAAAACAAGTTTTGTCCTTTTATTTGTTTCTTCTTGGTAAGAGAGAATCTTTTTTTGTTTATGACATGTACTCTGAGTAACATTTTGGCCATTTGTTTTAAGATCATGATAGACAATATATTAACCATCATTATTCTCTAATTATTTTATGTTTTGTTTTATTTTTTCACAGAAATAAGAATGTTTTTATATTATTATCTACTTGTATTATATTGAAATAATTTTTTAAAACTATAGCAATAAAAAATTACAAGAGGATATCATGAACAAATTTATTCTGACAAATCGGCAACTTTGATGAAATGAACATGTTTCTGCTCACCAAATCTAGTGGAAGAAATCGTTGGAAATGTCACAGATACTGAAAAAATAAACTCATAACTTTAAATCTTTCCACAAAGGAAAGCCCAGGTCCAGGTGGCTTTTCCATTCTATTAAATATTTGTTTCACTAAGTATTTATAAAAAATAAATAATACCAATTCTTCACAAACTTTTTCAGAACTCAGGGAGTAAACTTCCCAACTCCATCTATGAAACCAGCATTACCTTACTGAAGCCAAACAAAAAATATGCAAAGAAAGGAAGTCATTAGGGATGGACAACCTTCATGAACAGAAATGCAAAAAATCCTTACAATATTACCAAATAGAAGACCGAAACACATAAACATAATTGTACATAATGAACAAGTGGGACTGATGCCAGGGCTATAAGGCTGGTCAAACTTGAAAAATTAATCAGTGCACTAATACGCTCATAGAATAAGGACAAAAATCTGAACAATCATCTCTGTAGATGCAGAAAAAAATATTTCTCAAAATGCAACATCCAGTCATGATAAAAACTTCTCAACAAACTAAGAACAAAAGTGACTCCTTAATCCACTCAGGGGAATCTACGAAACACCCAGAGCCGAGACTGTACGTCCTGGGGACAGACAATGACTTCTCCCTTAGATCAGGAGCCAGGTAGCGAGGCCGCCCCTCTCCATCGCCCCTCAACGTGTGGTGGAGGTTCCAACAATGGCAATACGGAAAACACAAACAGGAAGCATCAAAAATGGGAAGGAGGGAGAAAAGCTTTCTTTATTCGTAGTTGACGCGGTGCTTAGAAAATTCCAAGGGCTTCACAACTATTCAGACTAACAAACGAGACTCACAAGATTTCTGGGTACAAGATCAACATTGAAAAATCAATTATATTTCTGCACACCAGGAAAAACAATTTAGAAATGAAATTTCAAAAATAATAATAGGGAGATTTTGGGAGGTGTTGGAAATCTTAGGTATCTTGATTGTGCTGGTGACTGCATGACTGTAACCCAGAAGGGTGAATTTTCCTATACGTTAAAATAAAACAGTAACTCAAGAATTATCTTCCTAAATGTTTAAAATAGCATGTGTTGTTTATTAAAGCAAAACTTAAAAAAATTCCACATAGTGATTACCTGAGCCTTATAAAGAAGTGCAATAGTTATTTTTGGTATAAATTCACATAATTGAATCAATTTCTTAACTATTTTTATTTCTAATACAGCATTACTTGTATTTTTCCAAAAACTCTTTTTTCAATATAGTTTTGCAGTTCTTTTTAATGTGTCTATATTTTATCACCAATAAATTTAATATTACTGAAATCTTCATAAATATTTATTGCCATGTCACCTTCAAATTAGTGTAGTATTA